GATATTGAAACTGAAGCTCAAATACATTGGCCACCAAATGAGAAGGGAGCACTCACTGGAGAAGACCCTGATGCTGGGAAAGATTGAAGGTCAAAGAAGACGGGGACGGCAAAGGATGAGATGGTTAGACAGTGTCATCGATGCAATGAACATGAAATTGAGCCAACTTCAGAGGACGGTGGAAGACAGGAGGGCCTGGCGTGATCTGGTCCATGGGGTCGCAAAGAGTCGGACTTGACTGTGTGACTGAACAACAACAACAAACTAGCAGGAGGCTGCAGTAGTCAAGGTGAGAAGGGACCAGGGTGTGAACCAAAAGAAGGTCTATGGCTCAGTGGCAGAGCATCTGTTTAGCATACAGAAGCTCCCAGGTTTAATTCCTGACATCTTCCAGTAAAAGCATCAGGATTTAGGTGATGAGAACAAACTTAACCTAAGACTCTGGAGAGCTGCTGCCAGTTTGAGTAGACAATACTGACCTTGATGGACTAATGGTCTAATTCTTTATAAGGTACAAAGTGTTAGTTGTGCATTTAACTCTTCTCTCTCTTTTGCTCATGTGTCTACCGAGTGAACAGATGGAAGAGCCATAAGTCTGTAATGCTGCAAAGGCAAAGAGTCATGACATGCTGAACAAAACAGAGAGACGTGTGAAATGCACAACTAACACTTCTTGCCTATTTGACAGAATGGATGACGTTGGTTCCTTCAATGGATATATGAGGAAGGGAAGTTCAGTTTGGATTCATGTAAAGTTCAGTCTTGAATTTCCACAGTTCTTTCTTGGAAATTAGTGGTTTTTTGGAGGGAGGGGGGTGATCAACAGTGTAGCAAAAAAAACCTATATATAGTATCTGAAGACGTTGCTGAAAACCTGATAACTTAAATCTGTCTTCTTTACAAGGAGATTTTGTTGAGGCCTTTGTGCATTTCAATGTCTTTCTTTTTGCTCCTGACTTTCCTCCTTCTCATTCAGCAGTCTTTCCAGATATCAGGTAAGTTACTGCTGTTAGCTCACCAGTAAAGGAATGGCATCCTCCCTAACTAGCTACTATAAAACTGACTACTGAAAGTTTAAAAAATAGCATTATTGAATTGAATTTCCGTGAGATATTTCAGAGACAAGGAAATGATGGATTGCATGTTTCAGTTGCATATATCAATAAAAAAACAGGTTAATGGAGCAATAAAGAATGCCAAAGACCATTTACTGTACTGATTTTATGGCTGCAAATAAAAGGGTTTCTTTTTTTTAATCAATAAGACAATCTAATAACTATGCTTTTACTATACCTAACTAAAAAGGAATCTTTCCAAAAGTAGTTCTAGAAGTATGTGGAGTTTTATAATTATGTAAACATTGGTGTTATTAGCTTACATGTCCACATCTTCTCTAGCTATAGAATAAGGAATAAGGATAAGCACTGTGCATTGAAAAAACGCTGTCAACAGTAAATATAAAATAACCTTCCCTCTTCCCCCTACTTTCTCCTGCTCTGTTGTACTGTCTTTAATTCTGAAGTCTGGTATCGTCTTCCTGTCAGATATTCCTATATAGGAGGCAATGAGGTACCTTCTCATAATATTACTTGTGACTTTAATTTTACAGAGGGTGATACTTTTTTGATAAACTATGAAAAACATAATCTTTGTATGCAACCTGGAAAAACCTCTGTCATCTTGCTTAGCAAGTGCAATCAGAATAATAAGATGCAAAGGTTTAAGTGGACTTCCAGTCAGCAAATACTGAACATGGGACTGAAGTTATGCTTGGGAGCATCTGCAGACTTCAGCCAACTTGAATTCTCCTCCTGCAATCAGACCAGTGAGCTGCAGAAGTGGGCATGCGTCAATGATACCTTTCCTGCAATCAGAGGACAAAACCAGTTTTTGTCTTATGGTGCTGGACTTGTCCAGTTGAATAATGCACCTGATGTCAAAGCAACCTGGAAGATTGATGGAACCAAAGACACATTGTGCACTAAAGGCTTTGAAGGTAAATTTCAGAGGGCTTGTTTCCAGTGTTCAACTGAGCACCCTATTAACCATGTTGAATCCCCTGCATTTAACCATGCTGCAACTTCACCTTCAGGAGACTGGGGGGGGGGGACATTCAGAACAGAATAAACAGTCTGGCCAAATGATGTATCCTCAAGTCCTATTTCTTTCAATTTTTTTTAATTGAATGGAAGAGAATCGAGGAAATTCAGAAATGTATAAGTGATGTGAAGATGTCATGTTTTCCCCCAGGGCCAATTTCCTTAAAAACCAAGTTATAAAGATGTCAGACAAAAAGACTTTCTAATTCACTTCAATGGAAGATAACATAGACAGCATGCATGCAACGAAATGTGAGCCCCAAATGGGTGCTTCCATTAAAGTGAACAGTGGCACTCTTGGAGCTCTGGTTTGAGGACTTCATAACATTTCTGTATTAATGATACTATTTATTTCACTTTGTCTAAAGCTCAGTTTACCATAGAAGGCAATTCCAATGGAGCCCCCTGTGTATTCCCATTCAAGTATAAGAATGAGTGGTATGTTGAATGCACAACAATAGACAGTGAAAATCTACAGCCTTGGTGTGGAACAACTGCTGATGTGGATAAAGACTCTTTAACTGGATATTGTCCAATAAAAGGTAAAACTCTCTCTTTTTTAAATTGCTCACATGTGGGCAAAGTTTATTAGTTTTTCAAATGTTACAGAAAAGAAAAAAAGAGCACCCTTTAATCTGCCATCACACACTTGCTGCTTGGAAGTGTAGGATTCATCCCTCGCCCCAGTTTCATTCACTCTCTCTCCCTTCTCCATGTTACAGAGGTCCACTTGTGGCTAGGCTGCTTTGCTACAAGTACAATATAAAATTAAATGCAGAGTGGTGGTGTTGAAGTTCTGATGCTAGAAATGGTTTAGAATAATTAAAATCATCATGGTTCAAGGAGTGCTTCTTTAGGATGAGCTTCATGGCCACATCATTCAAGATGAGATTTAAAGGCTTCCTTTCCTAGTTGCTCACCACCAGTTCAGACCCCATCAGTATCTTTGAGAATCTGGGATGTTTTGACCAATCATTGCCTCTCCTGTTGCCTTGTTTGGAGAGATCCTTTAGGAAATCCTCACTGCCATTTGGCTTTTCACTATCCTCAATATTTTTACTTCATCCACTGAACTACCCATAGATGATACAGATAATAAATGAACAAACTTAATAGCACTGATCCCAATGCAAATGCCTGGGAGATCCCATTGGTTATTCCTTGCATAATATGAACTGTTTACTCAGACTCTCCGATTCAAGTTCTTTAAGCAGTTTACAAGTTATGGGGCTCCTGCCCCTTGTGTCATTTTTCTGTTCCAAACAGTATTTTGGGGAGGTATTCTTTGCCCCATCAGGAGACTGCACATGCAAACATCAGTGTATGTGCAGCCACCCAGTAGGGTAAATAACAGCCCCAGCAGTATTTTCGGTCAGGAAAACAATGGGGGGGGGGAAGTGGGAGCCTCTTCTTCCCCTGCACAGTGGTTCTGACCAAAACTGGGGTCTTGTGGCACTTTCACAGAGATTTCTGATGGGGGTGGGGGTGGGCAGCATCTGTTGTATGGCTGCTGGTTCTAGTGGAGAACACATCTACTTCAGCCCTAATTTTCATACTTTATCTTTACCAGCTAGACTAGGAAGAGTAAATAGAGTAAGAGTCCAGCAGCACCTTTAAAACTTAACAAAATCTGTGGTAGCCTATGAGCTTTCGTGAGTCACTGCTCACTTCTTCAGCTAGCTGCAGTGACTCAGTAGAGCTTAGGGCCATTAGGATGGCAAAATAAAATGAAAGTCCAGTGGCACTTGAAAGACTAACATTTATTTCAGCATGACCTTTCATGAATCAGAACTCATCTTCTTCAGATATTGCAGCCTATGTTAGTTCATATCTAAGCAAAAATTACAAGTAACTAAAACTAAGCTATTTTCAGTGCAATCCTATGCAGAGTTACATCTAGACTAACATTTATTTCAGCATGACCTTTTATGAATCAGAGCTCATCTTCTTCAGATATTGCAGCCTATGTTAGTTCATACCTAAGCAAAAATTACAAGTAACTAAAACTAAGCTATTTTCAGTGCAATCCTATGCAGACTTACATCTTTTATTATTATTATTATTATTATTATTATTATTATTATTA